TCATCGCCTTTGATAATGTCCAGCGCAGTTGTGGACGAAACGTCAGGAAGAAATTCCGATAGACCACGGCTTCAAAGCCCGGAAAACATTCCTAAGTGATATACAGACTGTTGCAGAACACCTGCAGGTTTTCAGAAAGAGAAACCAAATTCGTTTCGAATTTTGAGTCAACAACCAAAAATCGTCCCTTTGTCGTATAGTTGAACTTGRAAAAATAGTAGCTGCTCAAGCAAACCACCAGGTGAASAYTTCAYYYMTTCTGGAARCACTAAAAACGACCTCAAAAACACATCTGGTATGTGAACTGGACGGGATATTGATTTCCAATAACGTTAGTCCTCATTAGCTCGATCCAAACACATTAAGTGAGCCCATTGGCGGCAAGCAATTTGCATAGTAGTTAGGTGATTTAGGTGTGGGCAATTTGGAAAATGTCTGGCACTGTTTCATTAGGAGGCTAGAGTGGCATGCCGGCTCCTAATGGGAAGGTTTCGTTTGATTGCAGGTCCACATGGGTACGCATATGTGGAACAACGGGGCGTCGCGACGAGGGCGACGCATGTCGCTCGACCTGCCGCCCATCCCCATGACGCCCAAGGATACCGAATTTCTGCAGCGGAGACCCGACATCTTCTACCCGTACCTCCCGGGTCCATTCCTTAACGGCATGCAACAACAGGTACGTTTTTTTTTTAGTTCTACGCGATTTACTGCATTTTGCGTCGCTTTAACCTGCCAGGTTTTCTGGAACGCCAAATTTTGCCGCTTTTTGAGGCACGTTGTTGTCGGCAATTTTTTCGACAGCCTTGGCATAGTTTTTCAGTTTTTCATGTTCGCGCTTCTACCAAATTTAAGCTCACTCTTTTTACTCGCCTTTTGTGACTTCAAACCATTGTGTCCTAGGGCGGATTACGGGCGCAAGATATTCTAAGAAAAGTGGTAAAAAGTATCACACAAAAAGGCCTAAAAAGACGGTAAGAAATATTGCTTATAAGGTCGATGGAAGGGTCAAAACCTAAGCATAGGGGCACACAAGATTATTGAAAAACCGCATAAAGAACTAAAGTATCAGAAAAAGAATGGACCTCAGCAAAGATCAAGAATCTCAACATAATCCAAGCAGCTGAGTGGAATCAATGGTAAAAGATGTAAAACAGCGAAAAAATGAATTTCTGCAAAATTCCAACGTACAGAGCAATTTCAGTTAGAATTTAACATCCTTAGCGCACAAGAAAGCCAAAAAGATGGAAAAATGCATTAAAAGAATTTTTGACGATGATTCGCTCTCTCGAATAAATAATCTAGAAACAACAAAAGAAGTCATTAAACAAAATACTTAAGTTAAATGCGGATAATTATTGCAACCGCTTAGATTTAGATCAGGACAAAATAATATGAAATGTTTCTACTGCCTCAGAGCTGCAGAACCCGCAGTTAATCATTACGAGTTGTTAATAAATGCTAATAACTAAAATAAATTGAATATTGAATATATTACTGGATTAATTACAGGAATGGATGTACATTCTGTACAATAATAAGCTTAAATAGTACGTTTTAGCTGCACCTAGACACAGGGGCGGATCCAGCTTTAAATTCAGGGGGGGGGTTATGTAGAAAAAATAGTCTTGTCTTCTGTTGTCTATGAAATTAGAAAAATTATTGTCGTTTTGTGCAAGGGTGGCGTAAGATTATTGCAAAATTTCATGTTTTTCGTCCCGTTTTGCATGTTTCTCGGAAGCAAAATGAGCAAGAACGC